CGTGCGTGGTTAGTGTGCGAGCGTTTGTCTTTGGATTTTATTCGAGACGCTGATAATACGCGCTTCCGCCGGGAATTGCGCGATTCTTGTTTTATACGGGAAAGTAAACGCCGCTGTGCGCCATGCATCGAATTTCAATGCTCCCTCGGAGTCGATGGTAAAGCGACGTTCAGCTGGTTCGACAATTCTGGTGGTTGTTCTGGCGGTTGGAAAATTTGAATTCCCTCTTACAAAGGACAAAGCGCCGTCGTGTCGGAACATGAGAATCGTTTAGAATACGCGATAATTTTATTCACGTGTACCGATGCCGTAACGTTCATTGAAACATTGTTACAAGCAAGTAGTCGTAATCCAAATGATGCTTTGTGGCGATAATATCATTATCGTTATCAACGAATTATATGCATTACACAACTTTATCTAATTAACCGTCAGACTTGCGTCGTCGTTCTAGAGTGTTGAAATCGCTCGAGATAGAGTCCAGCTGACGTATCGAGAATTATTAACACCAAGCAATTAGCCGCTTTTTTCGATACAAGGGGAGACTTGCGTAGCAGGGATAAACATCGTATTACCGATTCCACGTTACAGGCTCAACGTGAGCGTGACGTCAGCGGAAATTGCGTTTTATTTCCCCCGTGCCGTGTTTTGCGGATCGAGAGTTCGCGATTTCGGGGCCAAGGATCTCGCGCGTATCTACACATCCCGCCGCGGAGGAGAAAAAACGCAAAGTTTCGAGATCCCGCAGCCGTGATATAGGCACGATGATATATGACCGACGATAAAGCTGAGACATTGAAAGGCCGCGATCGATTTCGCTTGGTTTCTCGGTCTGCCATTCTTCCAAATGTCGTTGCCGTGCGCTTTCTCCCACCGACTTGGAAATGAATCGCGCGATCTATCGATTCGCGCCGTAGACGCCGTGGATGGCGTAAAAGCCGTGGACGTTCGGCATTCGCGCGTTATCGAATTTATGGTGCGGGTGGGAGGGATGAAAATGAAGAGAGAACTAGAAGGATTGGAACTGAAAAAGCATTAAAGCGCGCGCGCGCCTTGTCGCTGAGAGTGCACGCAATTTTTATGCATTGTGCATTTGTGGAGGGAGAGATATAGCCTGTGGCGCGAGAGAAAGGCTGACGAAGTGGACCGGGACTTTCGAAAATTACACCGTCGGCGACGTCGACATCGCGAGAGCGCGGCTCTTCCCTAATTGTGCTTCGATCGAATGGCTGTTGTAATCGCCAAACGATACAGGCTCTTTTTCCGGCAGAGCGCGGGGCTGGAAAAGACAGAGGGGCGGAAGTGAGTCGAGATCGACTCCGTTAGGGAAGAAAGGGGAAATAGGCGGAGAACGGGCGGGAGAATCGAGACCGCTGACGTAGCACTGTCCAAGCCAAATGGCCAAAATGGTCAGCGACCGTCGGTAATGGCCCAATAGACGCTCCTTACATTGCCGCAAGATATTGTTTAGGCTCGCCGTTACCACCCCTCTAGCCGCTCTTCTCGCCGCTGCTCGCGACCGATTTTCGATTCGGAGCTCATTCCCCGCGAACGCGTGGCTGCGGCTTGGCCGTTCCACGTTATGTTATCACTCGTATCGTCCGCGTCTCGTGTGGGTCGATAAAAGTTTTCCTCGCGGGGTAAGTATAGTTTTCCTTTACTGCGTCGGTCGTTCTCCTCGCGGGAGACTTTAATTGCGAGTTTGTACTTTAGAAATGCAGCAATTTACACACATACGGTTTGTACTTTTCAACTGAATGAATTAGATTGGACGACGAAATTCGCCGTTGGGTTAGATTTTCATTATTGTTATCACAATTTGGATTTACCTCTAACTATGAAATCATTTCGCATCTAAGTGAGGCCATAATTCTTGCCCGTTATATGCCTGCTAAGAAGTTGAAATGATTGATCGGCGACATCACTTGAAAATATCGCCGGAGTAAGAAATTTTATTTCGACAGTGATTTGTCCGTCTGGCTGAAAGCTTCCAGGGCCCTCGAGTACCTCCTTGTTGGCCATTATAACTTTCTGGCGTCAGGTAGTAATTAAGTCTGCAATAAGGACGAGTGGTCTGCCACCCATTAAGACAACGACGGATCGACACTTTGTGCGGCGGGCGCGAAAAAAGGTCGTCCCGTCAAATGAACCGAAAGGAGATCCGATGAAAGAAATTGTCAAAGAGAGGAAATAGGGAGTGGAAGTACGCGATGGATGATGGTGAAGAGGATTCCAATACTTTCGCAACGACGATCGTTTTATCATAATTACTGCTAGCAATTATGTGTTTTTGACATAACGCGCTACCATTTTCCGTGCAAGCGAAGAGATATATGAAACTTTCTTGCATATTCTTCACTATAAATTATCCTACTAGCAATGCGAGTGTTTTTTATGTGCGCATGCTGATCGTGAAGTATGATGTAATACACGAGTAAGCATTATTTCCAGTTAATAGCTTAAGGACAGTCACAAACACATACCCGCGCACAAGTGTCGTCACATTCTTTTATTTATTATCTATGGAGAAGGAAGCGTCTCTTATCTTTGCGACTTTTTATTACCACCGGTGTCACACCTACGAAAGTTTTAGAGGTTCCAAACCGGCTCCGAAAACTGCTACTTTCCTCAGACTTATTCGAAGCAGTCAGCTAGAAGGATACCAGAAAAGTTTACAGAAGAATTCATAAAATTTACGTTCTAATTGCTTTGTGACGAACGTCGGATTGATGTTGCATAAACGACGATTTACTTTAGAAGATTCCTCGCACAGGATATGATATTTCTAGAGACGAGTTTTATTCACGGATTTCCGTTTGTTAAAGTCATACTCGTGATTCATTAAATTAATATTGTTACGCACAATGAATTCGCGATAACAATCTTTTGCAACATAGGAAAATTAATTTGTGTGTACTTAATCCGTTGCATGAAAGAAATAACATTGATTAAATTGCAAAATAAAAATCATTTATAAAATCCTTACACATATTTAGGTCAAAATTTTAACCCTACTTTCGACCTGAACGTTCTAACATCTGTATATTCTAAAGGATCAATATATGTCGAATACACATGGAAATTAAAGTCCTACTTAGCGCCTCTAAATGACAGAAAATGCACAAAATGCTATTTGTAAATTATAAAGAAGACTTCTCGATAAAATAGATTAAATGGAATCAAAAGCAATCAATAGCAGAGTATCAAAGTATACGCCAAATGGAGAATGTTAAAGTCGAAAGTAGGATCAAAATTTCGACTCTGCTATATTTGCGTCGTTGTTTTTCAAAATCTCAAGATTCGTATTTTGAGTGATAAACATTTAGTACCAAAGACGCGACCGCCTGAACTCCAAAATAAAACAATATTGCATATATGATCTTTGCATAAAAGAAAAATAAATCTTACTGCCAAACCTACCACGTTTAACGTTAAATGTCCGGTCTAAATAAACCCTTGAAAATCTCCAGAATACCTTTCTAAATGTGCGCTTTGCGTGGATCTCGCAAAAACTTGGTCGATTCCGGCGGTCTCATTGATCACCCTAGAGTCCACGCGACAGACAAGGACGCACCGACGTGAGTTACCGCCGAGCACGATATGCTCCCGATGCAGATGCAGATACCCAGACGATGTAACGACCGGTAGGGGTGAGTCTGCAGTTAGGCACGGCCAGTGTCTCCGGGGTACCATGGTATCCGGAATGGTGAAGTTCGCGCCTGGTAGATTCCCTGTGTGACCCGTCGTCCGTTCTCTCCTTCTATCCTCACCCCCGTCGCGCTCCCTCCGTCTCCGTCGCTCTCTTTCGCTACAATACCGCGTTCTCCGGAAATTCCATGGAAGTCGAATCTCGCGCCACCCATCCGCCCACATAATTCCAGCAGGCGAGAGCTGTTCGGTTAATATCTCCCGCTTGCTGACACCGTCAAATAAAACATCCCCGGGTCGTCTTCGGGGCGGCGCGGGGACGGGCCCGAGGAAGGTGTAACCTCCGGTATAGACTCGAGACGCCGAGAGAGGAAATCTCGGTCCTTTATGTACGTACGTATAGATACACCACGCATCATCCGGCTGATTCGGCACTTTTTCGCGCGGCGTGGCGCTTGGAATAAATGTGAGGAAGCTGCAGGCATTTCGTTTCGGGTAATGTCGCGTTGGAATGGGGGCAGGTTCGCGAGACGATTCGCGTCAGAGGATTATGCTCGCTGCCGGGAATGGCGTGCTTGGGATTTGCAAGGTGGTCCACGCGAAGAAGGCGAGAAAGATATCATATCCCATAGCTTCGCCACGATACTTTTACTTCCGCGACCGTGTTTTGATGATCTCTTTGAACAAGAGACTGATCTTCGTTACGAAATAAAATACCTCGATCAAAATAACAAGCTCGTATATTTTCAACCTTCTCATAGCCTTCTTATATCTTTAACAGAAACGCTTCTTAGATAGTTTTAACGTGTAAATTTGACAAAAATCAAGTGCAGGTGAGATGACGAAACGACGAGACTAAAGCGATCCGAATCGCTCTAATATCAAATAATAACAGCGACCTCGCAGTGTGATTATTTCGTCGGGATAGTCAGCGCATAACTGCCGCAAGGCGGTGACTGTCATTTCGGACATTTGCGTAAAGAGAAACAAACAGACTCCGCAAAAAGGCAAGAAAGGAAAGAGAAAAGAAGGGAGAGGGAGAAAGAGCGCGCGGAGTAGCACAGAGTGGCAGAGAAATAGGTACCGAGAATGCGAGAGGGGGAGGAGGGCGACAGAAAGCTTCGGGGAAGGGGGTGGGAGATTCGCGCATATCCGATGCCGGGAGGGGACAAGAGGGTGCGAGGGGGTAGAGAGATAAGGCTAACACAGCGAGAGAATGAGAATGAAGGGAGAGACGTTTCCACTATTGATCATCGAGGCTCAGAGTGTAATGCTAATCATGCCCCCTCGCTCGTACCCGTCCTCCAGCGC